GGCGGCAATGGCGGTCGACTCCTGGCCACCACCGAGGGTACCGGTGGAAACGAAGAGACCGGCGTACTTGCCCCAGTAGCCACCAGAGGCCCAGATGCCACCGGTCCTGTCCCAGAAGGTCTTCCATTGAGCGGGGAAGTTACCGTAGCGAGTGGGGATACCGAAAAGGACGGCGTCGTAGTCCTTCAGAGTGTCGACTTCGACAATGGGGTAAGACGACTTGGGAGGAGCGTGCATCTTGGCGAGGACGTCCTCGGACAGGGTCTCGGCGATCCTGAAAAGAGATACTGGTCAATCGCTGCTTGACTAGAGTGAATCCCGAAGATCAGACACATACTGGAAGATGTCCGCCTGCCCACCCGCCGACTCAATGCCCTTCTTCTCGGCTTCGGCCAGCTTCAAGATGTGGCCGTACATGGAGTACTGCGGAATCGACCAATTAGCAAGCGCATAAGTGTCAAAAGGTCAAGGAGAATCACATACAAAGACGATAGCGACCTTGGGAGCCATTGTGACTGGATTGATGTCGAAACGAACAGGACACTATAGGTTTGTAGAAGTAGAGACTTGTCTTTTGAAAAATCACAAAGAACCTTCGCAGAGGCTTTATATATATGCGAATGGAAGAAGTTCTCGACTCCTCTACTCTCCAGTACTAGTGCCCCTCAGTGGAAATTTGGGGAGATTCTGGATTATGCCATACTTCCCTTCTGCATCCGTAATCGATTACAGAATCCCAGGTGTAGAAAAGAAAGGCACGCTGGTTCGTCCATTGCACCACTGGAGGGCCCGCTCTCTCGCTCCGCAATCCAGTCTTATCCATCCATGGCCCACCATTTAGTCTAAAAGCCAATTAGAAACTGCCCCTAGACGTGATGCCCCGTTAGGTGATCCTTACGCATTCCTGACAAAGACTTGCTGCGGCATGCATCCAGAGAAAAACACCTTATAGTTGCCTTAATTCTTTGGATTCTTCGAGCAGTGGTCTTCCCGAGGGCATTGCTGAATGATTCCTTAATAATACTTGATCAAAAATGCTGATTATGGGACTGATGACAAAACTGATAGACATAGTTAACTATCTAAGCTAACGTTGCAATTAGCCGTCATTCGGCTAGTCATGATGTCATACATTAAACTTTTTAGCTCCCCTTCTTACTCGAAGAAGTCAACCGTGTTAAAACGAACGCCAAAGGTAAATGGTAGTATTTCCAGATGGTTGTGGTGGTAGATAACTTACCACATCAGGGCAGAAGAGCGCATCACAATCCTTCAGAAACTCTACCGCATTGAGATCGTGAGCACATACATCATCAACGCATTTTATAACTTCAAATTGGGTATCTTAACGACCTGCAAAAGCTTCTAAAGTATGCGAAACCAGCCAACTTCCATGAGAGCCGTAAGTAACCCCCATGCCGGATACAGACTGCCTTATTCTACCCCCGTCCACGTCCTCGATATCGCCCGCGCATGAAGCCACCTCCACGGCCACGCTCGCTCCTCCACTCACGCTCCCTCTCCTTCTCTCTCTCCTGCTCCTCTCGGATGAGAGCCCTTTCCCGTTCCAATTCCTCCTCTGTCTTTTCAACTCTCATGGTAGGTTTGGGGAGATTCTCCGACCAGCGCGGATGAGCATCGGGGCACGCTTTACCCTCCGGACAGAATCCCGCCAAGTAGTATTTGCAAAGTCGTCGCCGAACATGTCGCTTGGAGCATAAGGGGCCCAGCTCGCAGAAGCCCTGATCGTAGTTCTCGCAGGGCGGTAATCGCGCTTGTTCCCGCACATGCTGGTATAGACAATCATCGCCGTTGGGACAGTAGCCTGATCGCGAGAAGGACTGACATTCCGGCATGCGGCGAAGATTGTATTCATGAAGATATTCGCATTTGAGACCTTTCTTGCAGAGCCCCTTGAGGAAGTGTTTGCAGACTAGGGAGCCATGGGTTGTAGAAGGCGCCAGCCCGGACGCCGTTGTGGTTGACGTTGTTACCCGCGAGGGTGTAGGATGCCGATCTGGGCAGGCTGGTCCTAAGGGGCAATGCCCTTCACTGTAGGCTTTGCAGACGGGTACGTCGCTCGCGAGTCCAAAACCGAAGCTTTTGCGGAGGAAGGGGATGAAGGAAAAATTGTTGTAGCTCGGATCTCGAGTGCTATCGGTGGATAGAATCTGTGCCGCAGCAGATTTGACATCTGCTGTCATGGTGATTTATAGCTCGCAAGATAATGAATTTGAAGAAAGTGATCGGCGGCTTTCACCAGGCTCGTTGGCCACCTTATGCGTTTGACAAAATTCTGCTCCTATTGCGACTGCCCAGTCTTGATAGTCAAGTCGATGTTAAGTCCTGTAATGCCAGTCAAAGTGACCGTATGGAGAAGAGTGTTAGGATTCAACAGTTGTAGAAGTAAAATAACTACAGAGTTAGTCAAGGGTAGTTTATGATCACAGCTGATGCATCAATGCACTAGTATTAATATGGTAGGCGGTGGCAAACTGTATTACCAACATAGAGCAGAATCGGTAGTTAGTTAGTAATCTGCGATGGCATGAGCTGACAAACCCAAGTCAATAATAATAACAATATCATATTCATTTTTGCTATGCTGATGCATCAAGAATGTAACACCGTATGGGATGGTCTCGTGGTTTTCGCTATGAAACGAAGACACCATTGACCTCTGCGGGCTCTGAGGAGTGGGTAGCAATTGAATAACCCACATTGTGCCGCGGCAGAGAATTCCCCCTGCATATGGTCGATTTTGGCAATTCAAAGTGCGAAGTCACTATGAATAGCTGAAAGGCGCATATATAGGGTACAAGGGACAGTCATTTACCAAAAGGTCTGTGCTATGTGCGGCCAGAACACCTTACAGTTCTATCTCGGATGTTGTTATCCATTGGCTGGTCTTATGAGAAGAACCTTCTCACGTTGCAACCTCAGTCGCCTAAGGAAACATGTATATTCTTTGTTCTGTATCTAGCGCCAAGTTCATTCAATCGTCTGGCTCTCCTCCTCTTCACCACGGAGAAGCACGGATATGTCGAGGCCGATTGTGGTTGATTTCAAACTCTGGCCCACTATGAGTATGGTGCCCCTGGCCGCCTGCTAACATAAGTACGGAGTACAACAGAGTGACCCCCACAAAACATCTGTCAATTTTGCTTCACCATCTCTTCTTCCTTGCAGGCACCTTCAGAATATCATGCATGGCCTTTCTATCGTATAAGTTCAGTCGCTGTGCTCCGTGTTCTGTTAATATTCAATAAGAAGGATGGCTTATGACTATGCTAACGGTCTATCAGTCATCCAGGGATCAAATCATTAGTTTGAGGTTTGTATCGTCCCCAAGCAGCCAGAAGGAGGAAAAAGCAAATATGAGGCGGCTTGTGGGAGCCAAGGACAAACGGTACAAATTAACTATCTTTCACATGGTCTGATTCTCAGTTACCTTTCCCAAAGCCACGAGCTACAGTTCCTCAAAATTAGGCCAAAAATCATAGAGGTGCACCTGCGAAGATATTGCAGACCTACATGAGCATGATGTACAGGCTTCCCCCTACCCAGCTCAGAGTAACAGTACTGGAAAGCGAGATGATCCCAGGGTCTAATAAAGAGGCCAATTGGGCCTCGTGCTGTAAGCAATGGATATTGCCACCAGTAGAATAATAATGCAATACGTGTGGTCAGATTCTCACCGGAAGAAGCCAAAACAAGTCATCCCAGCTCTACGAAGCTGAAGCCAGCAGAAATTGACGAAGCTTTCAGGTTACCCAACCGATAATTCTCTCCACTAAGCTTTGGTCTCTCAAGGAGCCATTGGACCTGAGTCTAAAAAGGCGGGGCTAGACATGATCATCTGGGGCGTTTGGACCCTACTGGACCAGGTCACGATGAGGATTTCCCTGTTGTCTGAGTATGCTGATTCGATGGATCAATTCAGTATCCTAACCCATTTCTGCAAGCTCTCGCCGCATTGACGCTTGTCGGTTGCGTCTCCTGTGAAATTAATGCTTGCAAATTAGGGAGATTGAATCCGCCACTGAAGCCAAAATCGATACGGCGGCCAAGTGTGGAGGTGAGGGTCGCCATATTGCCCGCTACCTATACTCCGCAGCATGGATGTCTGTATCATTCTTCGCAGTAGCTCGCTGACAGTCAAAGCTCTTTGGATCTAGCCCCCGAACAAACCTCAACGGGATCAAGCAAGCGATTTTGGATGCTTGCCATGGAGGAGCGTTGGCCATTGGTTGCCTCTTCGGCCGCTGCATCGAGGGGTTTCTCCGTTCCTGTGGTCCATTAGCAATTTTGGTCAACGTAATTGTAGTGTAGGAGTAACATGACTCTGATGGAGTTATGCAACCTCAAAAAAGAAACAGATCAGACCCAAAAAAGGACTCCCCACACGTGACACTGTCAACAATTTGGCAGCTGCTTCTTACTCCCTCAGTTGCATATATTCAACCTCACCTCGAATGATTTTCTCTATTCCCGTAAATCCTTTTCAGCCTCTTCGTCGATCTGTGAGAATATCTACAGATCCGGCGGCAACCCTGCCGAGTTTCGTCGCATTATGTTCTCCGGATCCATCTTCCCCCACTGGCGTCGTAAGGCGGCACAACGGGCCAACAATTTCAGCAGCTCGTATGAAGTCCCATTCTTCATGAACGCAGCCTACTATGCGAATTGGAGGATCTATCGAAAACAGCCTCCCTCGTCGTTGAGATTGGGATTCATATCTCATATCTTCTATGCATTTGCTTGGTACTAGTCATACACACAGCCGAAGCGATTAATCGCCTGATCTAGGTAGATACAAATGTTAACCATCATGTCTTGCTTTCTTTTAGGGTCAAAGAAGACGGCACAGTTTATGTGAATCCCCAACCCGGACTTGATTTTTCTTCTTCTGTCCTTTATTACTTCTCTTCTCTTTCCTATTGTCTTACCCCGCTGACAAGTTGTTTGTGCAGTTGAGCGATGAGTGGGCCGACTCTCAGATGCCCGTTGACGGCGCAAATGGCTGCCTCCGGGCATTCACACAACTCAAAGCACAATACTCGAAGATGAAGGTCATCCTCTCAGTCGGGGGAGGAGGCAAGGGAAGCGAAAATTTTGCCGCAGTAGCGCGGAGCCAAACCCGTCTGGAGACCTTTGTACGGACCGCGAAGGAACTCGTAGATGAGTTTGGACTCGATGGAATTGACAGTATGTAGCACCATATGTTCTAAGTGGCTCAGGATGATGATGCTGACGCTCTGCAGTCGATTGGGAGCACCCTTCAAGCCCCGCCGAGGGCTCAGATTATGTCCGTCTTCTTGCCCGGTTGCGTGAAGTTCTACCGTCACCACGCTATGTGCTGGCCACTTGCCTTCCAGCTGGTGAATGGGCCCTGCAACATATAGATCTGTGCAAGGCGCAGAACTATGTCGACCTGATCAACATCATGGCGTATGATTTCTCCGGACCGTGGACCAGCGAAACAGGACACCAGTCGCAGCTGTATAACCCATCTCGAGACCCAACAGGGGCGATCTCGTGTCAGTCGGCCATCGCATACGTAATCGCACAAGGTGTCAACCCCAAGAAGATTCTCCTTGGGATCCCAGCGTACGGTCGCTCTTTCCTAGGCAGTAATCACATCGGTCAGCGTTACAGTGGTTGTGGAGGGGAGGATGGCGTCTTTGACTACTGCGACCTACCGCGGCCGGGCGCGAAAGAGTATTATGATGAACAGTTCGGCGCTGCCTGGTGTGTTGGCGGCGATGGCGGGTTTGTGACCTACGACACCCCTGAGACGGTGCAACAGAAGGCCAAATTTGCGACCAAGACCAAACTGGGGGGTCTATTTTATTGGCACATCGGAGGTGATGCAAGAGGACCCCGCAGCCTGATCGAGACGGGATATAAGACCTTGCATGATATGTGATTTGGGATATCCAACTCAGTCAAAGGCGGTTTGGACGTTTGTTTGTGCAACATCAGCGAGGAATCGAAAAATGGCGGAACGGGAAAACGGGAGGCATCGTCTGTTTTATATCTCTAAGTAGCGAGTTTTGAAGTTCATTGCGATGTGAAATTATTGAGTTGATATCGCGTCCTACTTATACCGTCAACAATCCCTGTCAATAGGTGGGCTATCAGCCGATAACAAAAAGTAGACGGTCAGACTTCAACCGTGCGTCGGTCGTCCACGCGATACGATACGCCCCTCCATTCTTATTTGTCTCCCGGAGCCTTATCATCGTCGGCAGCAGGTAGATCTGACCCTGATCCTGATCACTACCGCATTACGGAGTACTCCTAGTACTCCGAAGGTATGGCCAACAAGGCCCGGGCGCTGATGTAGTCCGTCGAGATACGGTGTAGACCGTACAATGAGGATATCCGCTCAGCTATGGCGTGATGAGCTACACCACCTCTAATATATTGCAGAAACACTCGTTCCAAAGTCTGATTGGACGTCAGCTTTTGTCAATAACAGAGATAAATGATATGATCATCTAGCATATTATTAAATCGACATATCAATAACAACAGTGGGACATGTACCATTACATTGAGTTCTATCATTTCTATAGCCATCAAAATCTTGTCTATGAAAACCACAAATGCAACTGGAAAGAAAGAAAGAAAGGAAGGGACACAATCAAGCAACCCCACTCTTCGCAAAGGCCTCCTTGATCTCCTTGAACCCCTTGTTCTCGGCAAGCAGCAGACCGAGCAGGATGCGCGCTTTCGCCGGGTTGAGGAAGCCGCTCCCGATTGTGCTCGTGCTGTCTGTGAGGGGTACTTCGCCGTTGCCGGTGCGGGAGCTTAGGACGATAGGGAGGGAGTGGGTGGAAGCGATGTCGTCGATGGCGGTATCGAAGGCGGTTGAGACGCTTCCTGAGCCGGAGCCGGCGATCTGGATTCATTTTTAGCATTTGATTCAGGGATGGTGAGGGGAAAGGTAGAAGGACTTACGACGATGCCCTTGGCGCCGTTGTTGACGGCGTCGTAGAGCGTATCGTTGTGCATATCCTGGTACGCGTAGAGGATGTCGACCCTTGGGATGGAGGTGTCGTTGCGCACGTCGAAGGTGGTCTTACCGGTGGGCAAGACGGGCGGGTAGAAGAAGTACGGCTTGTTGGAGACGATGGAGCCGAGATTCCCCATCTCGACGGCCTTGAAGGTGTCCATGGTGTTGGCGTTTGTCTTGGAAGCGTAGAAGGCGGAGACGATATGGTCGTTCAGGACGACCAGTGCGCCGCGGTTGCGTGCTGTGGGGTGCGCGGCGACGGTCACGGCCTGGAGGAGGTTGAACGGGCCGTCAGCGGAGATGGCGGTTGCGGGCCGCATGGCGCCGACGACGACGATGGGCTTGCCGCAGTTGACTGTGGCGTCGAGGAAGAAGGCCGTCTCCTCGAGCGTGTCGGTGCCGTGGGTGATGACGGCGCCGCTCATGGTGGGGTCGTCGCAGACGACCTCGTTGAGGGTCTTGGCCATGCGGAGCAGAAGGGAAGACGTCACGTCGGGGCTGCCGACGTTGGCGACTTGGATGCCGGCGACGTTGGCAACGTCCAGCATCTCGGGGACGGCGTCCATGAGCTGCTGGATGCCGATCGCGCCGGCCTTGTAGCCTGTTGTGGCGGTGTTGTCGTTGCTGGAGCCTGCGATGGTACCGCCGGTTGCGAGGATAGTGACATTAGGGAGCGTCGTGTTCATCTGGGTGAAGTTCAAGCCGTGGGAGTTGGTGAAGACGTATGTACTGTTTGAGTCGGTTGCTCGGGGATAGAGAACCGGAGAGGCATTCCCAACGGCTGCCAAAGCCGCGACTATGATGGTTTTGAAGCTGATTTTGGTCATTTTTGCAATGTGACGAGGCAAACTGCTCTGCTCCGATGGATTGATGCCGCTGTACTCGCCAGGCAACCGTACCAGCAACGCATCGTGGGACATCCATCCTTAAATAGGCACTGTCGTCAACATTCAACCGTCGACCGCACGATAATCCAGGAACTGAGACACTATCCAAGTCTCACGATTACCCTGATAAGGAGGTATCGTCGCAGTCCCGCTGTGATCTCGTAATGAGAATCCATATCAATTGGAGTCATGTCGAGGAACTATGTGGACTTGACTCCAATTCTGCTTGGCATGAGGCGTCTATCTGCAAAAAGGAAGCCCGGAACTTAACCGATGCAGGAACCAGGATAAAACGTGCTCCCCAATCTGTTAATAATTGGCACTTTGCCAAGAGAGAGTCGTTATCATCCATCAGGGATAAGAGTTGGAGATTTGGAGAAACATCGGAGAATCCATTGCATTGGCATTACTGATAAGATCGGCGCATGGTTGATCCTCGACCTCTCAACCCGAAATGCCCGAATGATGCCGATGGATGATACGTCTCCTGATCTATTTAAAGTTAGGTAAACGTCCTGCCTGTGGTTGAATTATTCCAGCGATGAAGAATTACGTATCCAGTAGACGGCTTATCGCCTCAGGCACAACTCCGGGTCACCTGCAACCAAGTGCATTTCCATGAACCTGTTTCTCTTTGTAGACCAGTTCAAGCATACTACTGCAGCGGACTGGTCGTTTTTTAATATCCGCCATCAAGATTGCGAGGTCGTATTAAAAATGCTCTGTCTCCTTTGCACTTACGGTTCTCACTTGATTGGTTCAAAGCTGGCTACAAATCTCGGAGTCAACCTTCGAAGCGATGATAGGTCAAGGAGCAGCACGACCAAATAAAGTATCATATGTATTTGTGTCCGTCACTGTCGGCGATCACTACCGCATGGTCAACGTAAGGTCAACATAACGAGTCAAGAAGAAGATGTGCAGAAATAAATGGAATAAATCCATCCAATCGTCATAACATTAGCATATATGTATCAAGACTGGATTGTACATGTAGCCCCGTAAGGCAAGAAGTGAAAAGAAAAGCTCAGTGGTATATATATCCACCGGTGAGGGTGTCTCTCGACAACGTCACCAATCGATTAGATCAGCAACTTAGCAAGGTCCAAGTTCACTTTAAGTGTATTCGATGCCAGGGCCTCGCTAAAGTACGAGATGGCTTTGCCGTTGTATACGCTCGAGTTGGTCGAGCTTCCTGAAATCGCCACAGGGATACCGTTCTTGTACTTCGAGAAGAATGGTGCGATTGCCGACAAGTCGATGGCGGATGTCATGGGCCGGGTGTTGTTTCCTGGAACCAGCTTCAGGTCGTTCAAATATGAGGTACCAATGGAGGTTCCATCGACGGAAAGGTCGAGGGTGACATTGCCCTAGGTCAATCAGTCGACGCTATATTGAAATAAAGAACGCAACGTACCATGCTGATTGTCATCACAGATGGGTTGGGGATGTACACGGTTCCACCAAAATTGGCGCCATTCGACGATTTACCGCTCAAGACATGCATTTCCGTGATGGCGAAACCGTCGAGCTTGTTGAGGGCTAGAGTTTGCACAATCAGCTTTGTCCGACCCTGGAGGTTTGACCAAGCCCTGATCACTTACCCTTCATAGTAACTGTCTTGTTGTACGTCACATCGGTTTTAGGCAGGCCACCCTCTTTCAGGTCGGGCTTGCCATAGATGTTCAATTTGATCTCCTCATTCTGCATGACCGCCGTAGCAAATCCTCCAAAGGCACCCACATCGCTCAGGTCCAGGGACTGGCTGATATGAACCACAGTGCCGTCATTGGCCTTGACCTGAGGAACCCGTACGGTTGCGAACGCTGACGCAGCCCCCAGCAAGCTGACAGTAGCATCGAAGGCATAGATCGTAGGATGGAATATGCTGTGGGTGCCGATGACCTGCGTCTGGTCCAAGACGAATGATTCCGGCGTGGGATCGGAGATGATCATCTCCTTGATCTCCAAAGTGGAATCATTGATGTCGCCTTGTGCGATGTTTGGATAGCCGACATACACCCTAATGTCTAGTTAGCTCCGAGCCTTTTTTTCTGATATATCACGCAGAAGAGAACATACAAGGGGAGTGTCACTACGAGGACGACCACAATGATCACGATGACATGAACCCACCACCACCGCTTGTAGTGGTTGAGCACACGTCTCCCAAAGCTCGGTTTGGGAGACTGGCTTTCCACAAACCCAACCTCGGAGACTTCTGGCTTACCGTCGGCCATTTCGGATCGCTACTGTGCTTTCTGTAGTCTGTCCGACGTTCTGACGTATGACCGGGATGGCGAGTGACACAAATGGTCTATCGCCGGTGCGTCAGTATATAGAAGTGGTCGAAGATTCAGTCGTTCAATAGTGCACACCCTGTGCAGATGATTAGCATCAATTCAAAACCAGAACAACGCCATAGTCAAATGATATACCGAGTCATGCATCAAGAACAGAGCAAGGCCGTTGCAATTTATTGGAGATAATAGGGACACAGAAAAACGACGGGGTTAAAAAAAATTGCTTGAAAGAGAAAAACTACCTATTTTAGTTCGTTCACCGAAGGGGCAAGCGAAAAAGTACTAAGGACGGATGGTCAAAGTCCAGAATCCAGACGACGGACCAGCCAGTCCCTAGGGATCCGTCAAGTGCTATATCTACCCCCAAGGAGGGGCGAGGTTCCATCACATGTAGAAAAATTACAAAGCGACCAGATTCAAGCACCGCGGATCTTTCTACCTGACGGAGATGACTTCTGACCAATGTCCGGAGACTTGTACAGAAACATTCCCTCTTCCTGACTGCTTAATTTTGGATCTTGTGGAGAAAAAGGGGGGAGGGGGAGCTAAGTGACTGGGGTTTTCACGCCAGGATCCAAGGTGCTAGAGACTAGAGAGAGATGGATACTAGATAAGGAGCATGGCGAAAACAGTTACGGGATACCTCGTAGATTAAATGAGGACCTCGGCGGATGAGGGATAAGCAAGCATGAGACAGAGCCATGGCCACGATCAGGCT